CTTTTTCCCTTGCTAGATTTTCTCCCTGTGTGGGGTCAGAATGTCTCATGGATGCTGGGAGAGAGACAGGGCAATGTAAGACAGACCCTCTCATATTCACTGTGAAAGGCACAAATAGCCTTCTGTAAAAGTGAACCATTTTTTCTCTTCTGCTGGCCCCGTAGAGCCTGCATAAATCTCATGATCGCACCCACAGTTGCCTTCTCTTTATGGCCAGTCTGCTTAGCCACAACTCTCACCATGGCCCCATGCCAACTGGCAGTAGGACCCACTGCCACTGTCCTGGCACATAAAGGCCAAGAAATCCCCTTTGTGGACCACTTTTGCAGTGCAGGGCTTGCCAGACAGCTAAACCATAAGCTAGAGAAGCAGGTAGATCTACTTAATTTGGCTGCTAACACATTAATCCAGCCCTGTGGATTAGTATTCCTCTGAAGTTCCTGCAGCTGAGAGGTAGCAGACATTAAGCAGATGTATCAATAATACAGGTGCTTTTTTCTAATAGCTGTTGAACATTTGTTTTAATCTCATATACTGGAGAGGTTGTTTTTTGTGCCAGAGCATTTGGGTTATGTAGTATACAGCAAGCACTAAAATTTGCTATTTTTGATATAAGTTTTTTTCTGACTTGAAAGGCTGGTTTTTATAACAGGTCAATTTCAGACCATTTGATATTGATATATGAAGATCCTCAGGGATTATTGTAATACATTTTTCATCCTGCAGTGATAGTATCGTATAAGGAAAATGGGACTGACTGTTAAGTACAAATTGAAAAAGACATGGTCATTTAAGATAACTCCTTATCTGTATACAAGGAAATGGTATCAGGGAAATAGACCACCAGTTGACAGACATAAATTTTGCCTGAGGCCCCTCCTTCTCCTCCACTGCTGGTCCTGCTTTCCCTTCCTTCCTTCAATTACATTTACAACCTGTTCTCAGTGGGTTGGATCTGAGCGAGGCTCACCACCTCTTGTTTTGTGTGGGATGGCCCCAACCGGAAGGGTCTGTCCTGGATCCTGGAGCATCATTCCAGGGTCGTGGTCTATATTTCAGTTAGAGGCCTCTTCCTGGTGTGACGAGTACTGTAGCACCAGATAATAATGTAACAGGTTTGATCTAGGGACAAACTTGTAAAAGCCACACCCTTAATTTACCTGCTGAGTCTGGACATGCAGAAGCGAGGGATTGAGTTGTCTGATTTCTTTAGCTAAGTGACAAAATCTATTTCTTTGTTTCCTATATTTTATAAGAGCTATAAAATCCCTACAAGCCACGTCACACACCAGCCAGTTGCATTTTCTTTCTGTTCACGGCATCTTTTCTAAGTTCATTCTAGTTTTTGAATTATGACAAATCAGGTCTTATTATGGTGTGAAGAGCTTCCTGAAACATTCAGAAGAGCGATACTCTATTGTCAGTACCTTTTCATTGCAAGGGGCTGAGAAATAGCTGACGAAGGATTAGTGTGTGACCTTCTTCTCATGGGAAAGCTGCAAAGTGTCTTTACATCTATGGTCATTTTATAAACCTGAAATAGGAAAGCCTGGTTTTCCTGTTCCCAGGAAGTAATTACAGCACAGTGACTTAGGTTGCAATTGCATGTGTACTGTGTCATGCAGTGCTAGGGAGGATCTCCTTAGCAATTACTCTGTTACGTTGGAGTGCCAAATAGCGTGACCCATAGTAGAATAAGGGTGACAACAATTTGGCATGAGCTAAGACTGTCAGGAGCCAATGTTGAGAGACAATGGTAGAAGAGAGTCTTATAATTAGAACTTTACTGGGTAGTTTGCCAGAGTGTCTAACTCTGGCACCAAACTCTTCTTGGCTCCTCACCTGCTGTCATAGCCTCTGGCCTACACCTTGTTTCTCCTTCCAGACTTAGATTGAGCCTGCAATTAAAATGCAATCAGTTGTTCCTATCCAATCACTCCCAAGCCCAGACCTCTGCCTACTTGTGAGAGGAAGTGCTCAGATCACATTCAAGGCATCACCATTTTATTATTGCAATCTCCGTACTAAGGCTTGGGCCAAGGCTAGGGAACAGACTTGGATCAGAACTTGCTGAACTTTTAGTTATTTGGATACAGAGTGTTCCTTTGGGACTGGGTCTAGGCTAAAGCAGGAATTGTGCCTGTTTGTGCACTCCACTGACTGCCCCCATAAACTAGATTTCTCAACTCCTGGATGCTGCTACTTCAAGTTTCTAGATTTCCAGTTCCTCTTGTCAGCCATCCTTGGGCCAGATAAGGACCTCCCCATTATATTCTGAACATTTTTCCTGCTTCAGTCCTCAGCCCACCCATTTCATCCCCCAGCTACACTGTGATGTGCAGAAGCCCCCAGAGGTCTCAGGGCACAGAAGCGCATTCAGTGCTGGTGTTTTGTCAGAGGAAGAATTTTGCTGTGAGATAAATGGGATAATCTGAAGGAAGGAAAGAAGGAAGGAAGGAAGGAAGGAAGGAACTAACAGAGGCAGGGAGAAAGGAGGGAAGGAAAGAAAGGAGGGAGGGAGAAAGGAAGGAAGGGAGGGAAGGAAGGAGGAAGGAAGGAAGGTAGCGAGAGAGGGAGGAAGAGAGGTAGGGAGCAAGGAAGGAAGGAAGGAAGGTGGGAGGGAGAAAAGGAGGGATGGAGGGAGGTAGGAAGGAAAGGAGGGAGGAAGAAAGGAAGGGAGGGTACGTCTACACTGCATCCCTAGTTCAAACTAGGGATGCAAATGGAGACAACCGAAGTAGTTAATGAAGCGGGGATTTAAATATCCCGCGCTCCATTAACATGATCTCGCCGGCGCGCTAGTTCGAATCACAGCTGATTCGAACCAGGAAGTGCGCGCCGGGACGCGTTAGTTCGGACTAAAGCTCTTAGTCCGAACTAATGTTACTCCTCATTTTTTGCACCTCCCTGCTGTGGAGCCTGGCTGTGTTCTCCGAGGAAAGCCGTGCTCCGGGGGGAACAGCGATACTGCTCTGGAGCTGGGAGAGCAGCACAGAGTTGGGTTATCGCCACACCAGGCCTTGAGAGAGGAGACAATTTGCACTCTGAGAAACACCATTCCTGGGTCCAGGTAGTTCTCATACCCGGCTCTTCCCCGAGGTTCACGTGCATTGCTGGCTCCAGGGAGTTTGTAGTCACAATATTACTATGGGAGCTTTTGAGTATCATCCAAAGGTGCCAGGAGGTTTCTGTTTTCCCTGCTGCAGCATAAACTGTCAGTGAAGGCTGGTGTAGAGCATGGACACATGCATCAATCCTGGGCGATGCTTTGTCTCTTCCTCTAACATCTCTCTAATTCACATGGTGGCATCTCCACACGAGTACAAGGCATTGCTTTCGTTTTAAAAGTCTCCTGCCCAGGTGGCCCCCAAGCCACACAAGACTAGGCAGGCTGGCCTTTTTCTGCTTTTCCATAAGTATTTACACTGCAGTTGAGGGGGATGCCACTTCTTCAGGGGCACAGCTGCTGCAGCTGTGCAGCTGTCACAGGGCTAGTAGGCAGCAAAGGGGCAGATCTCTTCGGGAACGTGACTGTCAATAGCTGAAAACAATCACAAGAATTGTGTCTAGAGAAAGATGCTAAGTTGGGAGGTGAAATTCTTTGTTCAGCCTCTAGATGATGGATCTGTGTTCTGCAGTGTCTGAGGAACCTGCCTCCTTCATAGCGGCTCCCAGACATCCTGGTCATTGGTCTGTGATCTGATAGCTTCTGGCCCCCAAAGGGCCCATCTGTCCCTTCCAAAGGGAGCAAGCAGATGATGTTCCAGGGGGATGCCCTGCCCTGTTGGCTGTGCAGCTGAGTGTGAGCCATGCTTTGCTTTGGGAGGCTGCTTGCCGATGCACGAGTGAGAGTCACACTTCATGGCACTGGTGATGTTGCACCCTCCTTTACCCGACTTCAGAACCCTCCAGAAAGCTCTCCGGTGCAGTGATGCCCACAGCACACTTGGCAGCACTTCGATGGGGCGTGCCAGAAGCCCATGAGACACTGGAGGTTGCTCCAACCGGCAAGGTCTAGCAGCCCAGCTGTAGCCTTCTCACATCTCACCTGACCTCCTTTGGGCCCAGGCAATATTTTGGCCTTGTGTTTGTACAGGTCTTAGAACAATCGTGTCCTCTACCCCTCATTTCCAACCCCTCCCTTGAGTGTGCGCAGTCCCCTCCCTCTCCGGCTGTCTTGCATGCCATGAAACCGTTGTTTGCAGGGAGGAGAATGCACTGGCAAGGGGGGGGGGGGGTTGATCAGAGGGGCCACTGGTGGGTGAGAGGCACGGGGAAGAAGGGAGATTGGCTGCCCATGGGTGATGAGCACCTGCTAGTTTTCTGTGTGGGTGCTTCAGCCCCAGAACTCCCATGGAGTCGGTGTCTCTGGCTGAGGAATCCCTAGCCATCACTGGTGATTTTTAAGAACAGGCTGGACAAACACCTGTCAGGGATGCTGTAGGGTCATTTGGTCCTGTCTCAGAAGCAGGGAGCTGGACTTGGTGACCTCACAGGTCGTCTTCCAGCTCCGTGTTTCTGTGGTTCTGTAGGGTCCCAGTCCACGGGTGGGCTCCCAGGCAGTACCCCCACACAAACAATAAAGAGTAGGCATGCCAAGCCACCCTGTGTGGTTGCTGCTTCCCCACTGCAAAGCTCACAACTTGAGGCAAATGCAGTAGAAATATGGTGAAGATTCAGATGTTGAAGATTTTCTGCCACCTGCTTCCAGGGCTGTTTAAAGCTTCACACCCAAGCAAGTGATCTGGCTTTTAAATATCTGTGACATCTGTTATCCTCCAGATAGCCATTGCTGTGGGGCTAAGGTGGGCATCTTAAACACTGACTCAGGCATTTCCAGTGGAAAGACCTTCCTCTCCTGAGGCTTTCCTCCAGGAGGGAGCAGGCCTCTCCTGGGGCAATAAGGAGAGAAACAGGAAATGTATACAACAGATTAAAAAAAATCAACCTATTGTTGCCAAGGATACTAACAGGCTAATCCTTGCTTCCTCCTTGGCTTCTGGCTCCCCTTTTGCAGTGTGGGGAGAGGCAGATTGCGAACTCAGCTCTAGCTGGTCAGCAACCCTGGTAGGAAACGAAGCCCTGAACTCAGCTCGCTTAATGGAATCCAAACCGTTTTAAAAACAGAAGAATTTTAAAGTGAGCCTTGTGAGTACAGGGGCAGAGCCCTCCCCCCGCCCATGCCTTGCCTGACCTTGTGGGCATAGAGGAGAAGCTGGCGTGTGCACCTACTACTTGGGGCAAACTCCCCCTGACATCAGGGGGGTCGGCGGAGGGGAAGGCTGGTCTGAGGGTGATTCAGGAGAGCTGGGTGGAATTTCCAGCCCCCATGGGGAAGGGCACTGAAGGGTTCTGCTCAACCCTTTGTCTGTCTGCTCAGTTGGGATCAGGAGATGCTCTGAGCTGACCAGCCCAATGGGGTGCTGGTAGACACTATTGCGATGCAAGCAGTTAACAAAGCCTTTGCCGTGGTGCTGTGGGTGGAGCTTGTCTGAAACACAAGCACCACCTCCTCAGCTGTCCGCGGTATCTTAGGGCAAGAAGGGCTCCTTATTGCTCAGCCTCCCATGGGGGGAGCAGTTCAGTTTCATTCTGCCCATTGACAAGAAAAGTGCCTTTGAATGAACAAAACGTTCAGCCAAGAAGCCTAATGTATCAAATCCAAGGAGGGACGGGACTCTTTCAGGGTGGTGCTTTGTGTCGAAGAGTGAACCCTCTGCACAGGTGTGGAGACCACGGGCGAGCGGGGAACCAAGCTGCCAATGACCTTTCTGAACACGGTCTTTGGATTTCTGTCTCAGCTCTTCCCGTTTGCTATGGCTGTGCAAACTGGAGGCAGAGGCTGTGTGCAAATCCCAATACCACACACACTCTCCTTTTAGAACAGCACATTTGAGAGTCACTTTCCCTTTCACCTACCTGCCATCACCTGTGACCTTGGTCTGGGACCTTCCTGGTCAGACCAAGGAGAAGGACAAGTGGTACCATAACGAGCCCATTGCTGGGCAGATGGATCATGACACCCAGCCAGTGGGGGACTCCATCGCCTCCAGAGCACAGATATGGAGGGGACCCAGCTCAGGAGGCAGCTTGAGTTTGCATGAGAGTAGAAGCAGTCACCTGAAGAGGCCTCTGTCCTAGCCTGGAACTGGCCTGCCCTTGGGGACAAAAGACTGGTTCCATGTTTGTCTGGGGCTATTAAGGCCTGTGGGCTGCACGGTTTAGTTCAGGAGGGCCTAGTTCTGCACCCTTTGCTATATAGATTCAGACCAGGCGTGTCTGTGGGACCCACCAAGGGCCAAAGTCTGGCTGACTGAGTGCTGGAGCTTGTCAGTGCTGGCTTGCAATGTGTGGCACATGCAGCTGCTGGGTGCCTGGCAGCATCCAGTGCTTTCCCTGATTTCCCCTCAGAGTTGGATCATTTTTAAAAAGAAAGTATGTGAAAAAGAAATCTCTGGCAGTGAATGTCGCTTCCTGGCCAGGCCCTTCAACTGTTCTGGCAAACCTGCCTTCCCATCCTCACACTGCCTGCAGCAAACCTCTCTCAGGCCCTCCAGGGAGTCGCCGGCTTCCTATGCCACGGAACCACACCTTATACCACCCGGGCCTCCTAATCCTGATGCAGCCTCCCTGGATGGAAGGGGTGTTTGCATCAGTGTGGGAACCTTACCTCCCTGAGCAGGGTGACAGAAGCAGTTTTCTGGTGACCGAGCTGCATCTATGCTGTGGGTTCTCAGCTTTGCTATGTTGCTCAGGCTGGGAATTTTACACAGCCCTGAGCAATGATGCCATGTCCACATACATTTTAAGCATCGTCCAGTCCTCAGTCAGCTCTCTCTTCCTCAAGCTCCTGCTCTCAGAATGTGCTTGCTGGTTGTGCTCTGGACACAAACACACATTAAGTCAAAGGGTCACTGAATGTACTTTTGACCCTTCTGGGATGTGGAGAAGCCGTTCAGATTTCCTCTGTCCCCTGAGATAAGAGAGGCCCTTTCCTTCTCTTTTCCTTTGTATTCTCAGCCAAGCAGAGTGCAGCAAATCCACCGAGCAAGATCTTTCCCCAATAATCCTGGCTCTTTGGCTAGTTTCTCTCTGGCCAGCAGAGACCAAATAACCTTCTCCCCATGGAAAGTGAACCAGCTAAAACGGAAACAGGATTCAGGCTTAGGAACACTCATTTAACTCCAGCTAAAGCTGAATGGATGAGCAGTCCCTGAGCTCCCAGTTAAGCTGAACCTTTGCCTTCAATTTGACCAAGATCATTTCTGCGGTTGGAAAAAGATAGGTGTAATTTCTCCCCCACTAGTTTCATTTGTTGCTGCACTATGTGAAAAGGACAGAAAAGCATTTGCCTTTTGGAGCTTGTTTAGATCAAACCTCTGAACTCTCCGAAGGTATCTGCCCAGCTCCTAGTGGGCTGGGTCCCCATGAACCAGGGGGCTTTAGTTTGGCATTTGACATTTTACACCTCGCTTGGAGATGGCCATGCTTCCAGCAGGACACCAGGGTTTCAAGAGCAGCTGCTGTGCATGTACCTGGCAATTACTCCTGTAACTAAGGGGGGCTATAAGGCTCTGGCATTCATGAATGCTTTCACGGCCTCCTGAATGCACCAATGTGTGGGGAACATAACGGGTGGCACTTAGGGAATGTACAAATCGCTATATTCCGCTCCCCAGAAATGTCAGAAGTCAGCAGGACCACCCGCCTGAGTAATTATTACCTAGCATGGGTAAATGCACAAACCTAGGGCTAGAACCAGTGCCACAGACTCACATGATACAGTCCCCACATCACTGCATGGGGCTATCTAATCTAACCAAGGAACATAACGGGTGGCACTTAGGGAATGTACAAATCGCTATATTCCGCTCCCCAGAAATGTCAGAAGTCAGCAGGACCACCCGCCTGAGTAATTATTACCTAGCATGGGTAAATGCACAAACCTAGGGCTAGAACCAGTGCCACAGACTCACATGATACAGTCCCCACATCACTGCATGGGGCTATCTAATCTAACCAAGAGCTACAACACTATGAAAGTAACTGCCAGAACTGACACCTGTCCCC